TTTCCTCCTTTCCTGGAAGCTGTGTTTTTACTGTGAAATATTTACTAACCTCTGTAACACATGGCAGATATGCATCATTGATGGGTGTTAGTTTATTACTTGCCCTATTGGAACAGTTAATCCATTCTGAAACCCTGTTCTACCAGAACAAGCTTGTTTTTCAATGCTGAGGCATTTTTCCTTTGTTCTATAGATGTTGGCTGAACAGGCGTCAGATCGATGGGTCTTTGAATAGAACTCCCCCTGGCTTCTATGACCGAGTGTGGCAGATCCTGGAGCGTACACCCAATGGTATCATTGTAGCTGGGAAGCATTTGCCACAGGTAAACCTTACTGTGTTTATATTAAGAAAAGGGACCTGAAGAAGTGGAGAATTCTTCCTTCTCTGTGCTACAAATCTGTTTTTCAGTGTTCTAAAAGTATCCAAAGGAGGACTATCTAGATATTCAAAAGGATGAAATACTAGAAAATAAGAAGTCTAATCAATTGGATTGGAAATGTTTTCCCCAATCTTAAGTTACTTTTATTTTTCAATTTTAGGGTTCTTCTATATGAAAAAGCTTTCTTTCTGAAATGGATACATTACAAGGAAGTTATATTTGATTAAAAATTGTATTGTCATATTTAGATATTCCAAGGAGCCTCTCTGTACAGGTACCACATGACCAAACCTCTTGCTGAGCAAGCTGTCCTTCTTCTCTTTACCTATTAGTGAACTTAGGGTTTCTTTATTTGATTTTACATAGGAGTATCCTTTCACCACCAAGCAGTGTGGACCAGTGCTGAGTGATCTCACAAATAAAACATGCACTGAAAAGACAGAACCAGACCAAGCCTAGTAAAGCAAAGTGACCTAGTAATGCCATTAGGAAATCACCACTTAGGAATTGCTTTGAGCATGAAAATGCAATGACTTTTGGGTCATTGAAAAGATAACCACTTACTGTACTTGAGGTGTAACTTACCTGTGGTGAGCTACGAAATGGATTAGTGCCCTCTCCTACATATGTTCCTTAAGTTATATAAAATGGCCTCCTTCTTTGAAATGATCATTTATTTATTTAATTCTGGCTTCTAGATCATTCTGCATATACACAAAAGCAGGAAATAGAGTGCTGTATGAGTTTTCTAGTGTTGAAACTTTAACCAAATTAATTTTGATGTAGCTCTTTATTCAAATAAGGTATTCTCAAATAAACACATATGCCCTCATTTTGCTTACATATATACACAAGAGTATCCCTGGAAGGGCTCACAAGAAATTGGTAGCATTGTTTTCTTTGGGAAGAAGAACTTTATGTCTAGGGATCCAGTGTGGGCTTTTCACTTAAGCCTTTTTAACCTTCCAAAGTCTGAACTATGTGAATACATTTCTTACCCTGAAAGATGAATAAAACCATTTTTAAATATTGTTTATACTATTCATAGACTGTGAATGGTTTTATTTATAGTACACTGTGGCAACCTGTTGTTAGCACCTGTCTCAGCACCCACTAATACCTACCAAGTTTTATTTGATTCTGTGATAGCCTCAGCCACTTACATTTACTATCCTTTCATTGCTGACAATAACAACAATAAATACATGTTACATATTTATCCCAGGTACTTTTCAAGTGTTCATTTAGTCCTCATAGCAATTTTGTGAGAAAGGTATTTATTATCCCATTTGACAGATAAGAAAACAGACACAGCTAAATGACTTCTCAAGGTCATATCTAGTAAGTAGTTGACCTAGAGTATGATCCCTGGCATTTTGTCTTCTGAGCCTTTTCTCTTCTCGTTACCCTACCTACTCCAAGTCCATTCAGAAGAGTAGGAAATAAGGCAAGCTTGATATCTCTTCTGTAGGCTTAATTATCATAGCCGCATAGTAGCTAGATTGCCTTTAAAATGAGATATATTAAGAGGAAATTAATGTGAAATATGAGTGTCTTCCTTTCCTTTTGTATAACCTCATTAATCCCATTGTTAGAAATTTAAACCATTACAGTAACTGTTTTGGCAACCATGACTCATTTTTCAAACATTAACAATATGTTGTGTTATAATGACTATGGAGTACAATGGATGTATTAAATAAAGGACTCAGGCATTATTACCCACATGCTGGGCAACTTTGCTGTCATTTGATTGCAAGATGACAATCAAGGGGTCCCTCATTCCCATTCTGAGTAGCAAGTAGATGTACATTGTTCCAGAGCTATGACTAAGCTTACTGTAAACAACTGGGATAAAAGCAAATTAGTACGTTTCATTATCTCTGTATCTCTGGTAAAATTCCAGTGACCCATCTGTTTTCTACCCCACAAGCCTAACATTTAGACCCTTCCCTCCTATCCTTTGAAGGTTATTTATCTTGTCCAGATTTGGATTTGAGTTTTGTTTTCATTTGGTTTGTGAAGTGAATGGTAGATAATATAATGCTCCTGTTTTAAATAAAAGACAGAGAGTAGAGAAAATTCTTTTAGTCTTACTTTTTTTCTGTTTCCTTGCCATTTTGGCACACAATATTTTTGCTTATTTGTGTGCATTTTTATGCTTTCAGGCTCAGAAAGTACCTGCCACAGAAATGATGTAAATTCAATACCAAATGACTTACATGCTAAAGTCTGATAGCAAGCATAACTTCCTATGTTAATTCTGAAAGCAATATGTACTCTATTTGTTGTCTCAATTTTGGCTATTCTCTTTATATATCAAAATGGCTTTCTAATATACCTTTTCCCCAAAAAGAAAAAAATGCTTTCTAAGGCTTTATAGAAACTGAAAGAGATTAGTGATTAGAAACTAAAATTCCTTTATTAAGTGAGCAGAGTATTTCATTTAACATGTTAATGTGGATTTATTTTTTTCAGCAACCAACCCTGTCAGATATGACCATGTATGAGATGAATTTTTCTCTACTTGTTGAAGACATGTTGGGAAATATTGACCAGCCAAAGTATAGACAAATTGTTGTGGAGGTTTGTATTTAAAAAAATGTATGTTGCTGAAGATGTGCTTTCTGTTTGCTTACTGAAAACTAGTATAAGAAAACTGCCCAAAAGACCAAGAATTCTGTCCCTCACCTGACTGTAAGTTCTTCCAATGCAGTGCTCAAGAAAGCAACCATCCATGACCAAAGTCAATGCACATGCACAGGTCAGCACCTTAAACTGCCCCTTCAAGATGGAAAACTACTGCACCTTTCAACTGCACACTCTGCCCACAACAGCAAGTGCATCACCACATTAAATAGAGGAAGGGATCGTTTCTGTTCATTTTGTTTTCAGTTTTTTCAGTTTACAGAAATAATGTACTTCTATTGTAAAAAAAAAGTCTCAACAGTTCAGAAAATTAGAGAAATCAAAATTTTCCCCCACACCCAGTAGCAACAGTTCATTTCTACTAATCTTTTGAAGGACATCTTTTCAAACATGTCTCTGGGTAGAGTTAAGTGCTAAAATACACAGGAATATGCACACAAATGCATATATATGCCTTTCTGTCACTGTAAAACATTTTGTCAAATACAGTAAAGCCTCCAACCTCCCTTTTTCTCTCAGAATGTCTCCATCAGACTGTGTTTCTTGAAAGGAGGTAATATGTCTTATTGATATATAAAGCTGTCAGTGAGTGATAAACTAGATATATCCCCTCCGCACTCTAGCAATTCTGGAACTACAGTCAGAACTGAGTGAGATTCAGCCTCATCAGTGGTGTCCCAGGATGTGGAAACTGATTGGTTAATCAGTTCCATAGCATGCTGAGAAGTGAGGCAGAGACAAGGATCAGGAAAAAAATGTAGTTGTTTGAAGAGTGGATGCTTTTTTTGTGTAGTGTCCTTGGCCTTCCATGTTTAGTACCGGCATCTGGGACATACAGTGGACATAATGGTCCTTACAGACCAAAGTGTTGTCACTTCCTTTGCAGAAGAAATTTTTCTCTAGAGCTGCAGCAAAACTTCTTCTCCTGGCTAAATCCTGCCACATGGGTTTCCCACATTGTGACCCCCTAGATTTTTACTGAAAGTGATTCCTTTGGTTCTTTCAGACTCTGTTTTGGAAGCATTTAGATAAAATATCCTCAGTAAGAGTTACCAATTGGAAACTAAGAGGTCTGTTTCCTGATTAGTATACAAAGAAGGTCATAAATGTCATCAGAAAACCTTTACCCATATTGTATAATCAGACACAATCTTCACATGTGAGAATTGTCATCTAAATAAACATTACTTCTGGGGACTAATGTATGGGGCCAAACAACAGGTTGATGCATTAAAACAAGGTAGTTTATACAGACCAAATAGTACTGGTATCATAAAAAGGTCAGAGTTAAGTATGTTTTTTTCAAAAAAAACCATATTTTCCCCTAAGTAATTACTATTGCATCATGTACTTACACTTGTCTTGAGGCGCTGGGCTCTAAATTGTTTGATCATAACCCTAGTCTTAGAGACTCCATTGAATCCACTTCCTTTCTCTGACTTTGTTCCCTGCCACCTCTTCCCTGGAGGCCCACACCACTGGACACTGTTTTTGGTGGCTTGCCAAAAAGGATTGATACCTAAAGGCCCAGAAAAAGCACAGAGAATTGAATAGAGCACTATGTGTAAGGTACTGCCGAATTAAGACCACGCCATGTGTGGAAAAAGATTTATTAGAAATCTAGACTGCGGGGCTGCCTCCCTCCCTCCACCCCCACCCCAGATCAGGGAACAGCCACTTGGGTGAATTGAATTGGGTAGTGGGCTTTATAGAAGGGAGGGAGAGAGTCTCTAGTTTCTGATTATCTGCGATCACCAGATGGAACAGGTCGACATGCCTGGCTAGTTGAGTAACTGGAAGTTCCTGAGTTGTTTTGCAAGCCGAGGAACAATCAGGCAGGGAGAAACAAGCTGTCATAAATCAGGGGGCCTGGTTTTAAGGTGTAGGCTTGGGTCCTTCCGCCAGCCCCAAGAATGCCAGGGACCTAACACTATGTACCATGTAGAGTTAAGAAAGTCATTTCTATGTTATTAGTTTCACTTAAGTAACTAAAAAATTCTATATACTTATAGAGACATATGCAATGAGATAAATGTGCATTTTCCAAATAGAACTTATGCTGCTAACTTTCAAAATTAGGAAGATTCCATCCACATATGTGCCTTAAGCTCTTAACCTAATACAAACACACTGCGAATACTAGGGTCATCCACTGATCTGATATATGATTGCCTTTGATGTTTGTCTCTTCTAGTTACTAATGGTTGTATCCGTTGTACTGGAAAGGAACCCTGAGCTGGAATTTCAAGACAAAGTAGATCTGGACAAACTGGTGAAAGAAGCATTTCATGAATTTCAAAAAGATGAGAGTCAGCTAAAGCAAATTGAAAAAATAGTAAGTAAAGAAAACAGCTTTTTGTAGAACTTTTTCATTGTCTCAATTCTTCAAATATCCTTAATCTCTTATCAAGTACAAAATAAAGTACTTGAGAAGCAGTCTGACTTAATTGAAGAATTATTACTTTTTAATTAATTACTAGTCAGTTCAGCTATGACTTTGTGACAAAAAACAATCTAAGAAGAGATAAATTTTCTTTATATAGTTGACAATTAAAATGTGCCGTACCAGGAAGGAGCCATTGATTCCAGAAGGCTATAAAATTAAATTCTGAAGATGATGGGAACACAGAATAATCTAACATTGGTGATATGTACTGCATAGTATAGTCCCTTCTAGGCTTCTCTGCTTAATATTTTATGCTTGTCTGTGAAAAGATTCTGTAAGTAAAAATTATCAGCAAAGTAGAAAATACTAAAAATGTCTGTCTTTGTTTTACATGCTGAGAAGATACCTCAGGAAAATGAAAGAAAAGCTTAGGAGCTCATATTTTTCCATGAGGAGATGGTTCTGTGAATTTATTTTTCCCCTTAGGCTGATGTTGATTTTACCTGTCAATTCTTTACACCCAAAAAAATCAAATGTCTTGCTTCCTGTTTCCTTTTGTAGGATGACATGACTTCCTTTTACAACACTCCCCCCCTGGGAAAAAGAGGAACATGCAGCTATTTGACAAAGGTTGTAATGAATTTGCTGCTGGAGGGAGAAGTCAAGCCAAGCAATGATGACTCGTGTCTGGTTAGCTAGTGAGGAATTTGTAAGAGGCTCTGTGAAGATGCATTCACTAGAAGAGTGTTAAGTTTTGTGTTAAAGTTTAATCAAGGCAGCCATTAGTGTATGAACTGATCATGCTGGTGAGGTGATCGCCACATGCTTGGCACTTTCTTGAACTTTGCATGAATTGCCAGTCTAATGCTGAGAAATGCTTTTAATCAAGGGAAAACAAGGATTTCACGATTATACCAATATAATATATTTACTGAACAATAGAAGTTTATGAATTGAAAATTCACTGCTGCATGTTTTATAGTCAGATAGCACATGAAAATGAATCTATGCTCTTTCAGACTGAATTCTTACCTTCTATCATTAAAATGAACTTGTCAGCCAGTAACACTTACTGGGAAACAAAAGGTATTGAAAGAATGGTAAACATTTTATAAGTGGCATCATCATGCTAGAAAAAGATGTTAATACCCATCATACAAACAAAATTAGCCATATGATAATTTGATTTTCAGAAACTGCATTATTAACTAATTTAGTATACAGAGCTGTTGTCCAGTTTTTGCCTTGTAAACATGACTGTGGGTTTGAATTTGCTAAGTGTAGGATTTGGTCTAAAATATAACATAATATAATAAATCCAATATATTATCAAAGATTTTCTTTGATCTCCAGCTAAAAATTGGACATGTAGAGTTATTCAGAACTATGTTACATTTAGAGCTGTTAACCTTGTGAAAGCAAAATTAAAAGTCATTAAATTTTATTTCTGAATTAACATATCTGGGCACATTCTTTATTTAAATTCACAATACTGAATTTAATATGCCAGAATATTTTCATTTAATTGATTTGGATGTGGAATGACGGAAAATCTGTGGTACTTGCCATCATACATATTTTGCTACCAACTTACTTAAGCAAATGTCAATAAAAGTAAAAAGCAGATTAAACATTCAAATTTTATGAATGCATTTCCTTCCTAAATGTTACAATGCAGTGCATTACTTTGAGCCTTGATCCCAAAGAGTCATTTTTTTGACCAGTCTTAAGGAGTTTCACCTGAGAAGTTAGATTGTCAAATAAAATATGCAATCCGTTAGTAAGAGTCTGGAAAGAACTAAGAAAGGAGAGGTGATTTCAGTAGCAAGTCAGTTGGTACCAAGTAAATGAATGTGTGAGCACACAGAGAAACCCAAAGAGTCAGTCTCATTTCCCATAACCCATAAGCCTAGATCTTGCATAAGAAATCGTATATACATTAGTTGGCAAAACTGAAAATTATAATAAAATTTGGTGTTACAGAACATTTTAAGGAGATAGATGTGACAAAGAGAAGAATGAAATTGCTTGACTTAATATATAAAATTAATTTATGAAGAAGAGGTGGTCCTGAATAATGAAGCTAGTTTATAAAACTGAGGCATGAAAAAACATAAACATGAGGCCCAGGGAGAACTGAGTTCTAACAATTCTTAGCTGGAGAAAGGAAATTAAAGTTTAAGAGAAAGACTTTGAAGTATTTATTGTAATTCAAAAGAAATTAAACTCTTGTGTTTTTAAGAATTTCCCAAAAAAAGGGTTGTTTGTTTTTGTTTTTTGTTTTTTTGTGTGATTAGCTGAGCAAAGTTGCCAGAAAACTGCTATCTTAGTTGAAATCAGCCATCATTTGCAAGTGCATTTTCCTGAATGAGCTTCCTGCTCAGCTGTTATATAACAGAATTCTGATAGTTCCTCTGCACTGGAAGCATTCAGAATCTGCAACATATATACCAAGTTTGTGTGGAAGAAATTCAGACTTATTGTTCTGAAAATATATTTGTAATCGTAAATCCTGATGTTCAGCTAATCACAAGACAGTATCTGCTTTCTAGTTAGAAAACAATAAAATCATAAGAATTAGAACACAGAACTCATATGAAATTTAGAAGTTTCATTTGGTCGCAGAGCCCAAAATGTTTTAACAGCTGCACTAGAGACTGATTGAAAATATTAGTACACTTATCCATGCATGACAAGATTGAAATTTGATTTAAAGCTTTCTCTTTCATAATGGCAGATTCACTGTGTAAGTTTATTGTACAGGCGACATCTTTTGGAGACTTCTGCCTGAATACCAATTCAACTGCATTTCCAGAGCATCATTTCGAGAAATATGTTTTCCCAGATTTCTTGCCACTTTATTTAATTCTTAAAAAGTTGTATTTCAGCTTTTAAATCAGAATATGGGATCATCTTGATATCATCTTCAAAATGTCCTGTTTGCAGTACATTAAGAGACACAATAAACATTTGTTGAACACCTGAATGCATTTAACTTTTTACCTTCAATCTTAAAAAGTAGATTCAGACATGCTATTAGCCTTCATGAGCATGCATATTAATAGATGGCATAAAACTGCAAGAGTCAACATAATGTGAAAACATTATAGCAGCACAGACATCCCTTTAAATCAAGGAGAGTTTGGGTGGCATAGTAGTATGCAGAGCAGTATGCAACCTGTCATAAAAACTAAAATGTGAATGAAAAAAAGTATAGCCTCATACCCATAAATTCTGAAAAGCAGCACAAAAACAAAGATCTGCCAGAATTAGTACATGGCTAATATTCTGGCCTCCCAGAAGCTGTACAGGAGGACAATTCAGTAAGTAAATTATGAACACATGAACATGAAGTCAGCATCCAGAGGGGAAAGTGGAAAACGTTCCTCAGGGATGGAAGTACTTCACTACCATCCTTCCTTATTTTCCAAAGGGCTACTGCCACCACGAGTTAGAAGAGGCACTCTTTCTGGGCATACTTAACCCTTGTGGGCACAAGGCTTAGTAAATACAAAGAAATCCGTCCTTTGTACAATCTCATATCAGACAAATGGCTTAAAGTAAACTGGATTTCAGATCCCATTGTCCTCTCATATGTACCTTGATACAGTGCACAAACCACATGACTGCCCACTCCTGTTCCCAAGGAAGGGAAAGGTACCAGGAGTGGGCATTTTGACTGTCCAACTGGGAGGGAGGCAGATGAGCAACAGTGACCATGATCCCTCTGAACTAGTTATCTCCAACAGCATTTCTGGGAGCTGGTACCACTACACCTGTCTTGCTACCTGTTTGGTTGTGGCTTATAATTGGATGGTAGTTGGATTTTATGACTACCCCATACACATTTTTTATTTTCTATAATGTTATTTGGAATACCGGACCTGAATTCACTAATTCACATCTAAGGACAGTGCCTTATAATATTCATATATTCATTGTTACCAGACAGTAACTTTTGTTTTTTTATTTGTAACAGAGATGGTCAGCATTATGAGTAAATTTCCTGCCTCTTCACTCCCATCTCCAAAAGTTGCCCCTGTTCTCCTCCTAACCAAAGAAGAAAAGTATAAAGAAAAATTAAAAAAAAAAAATTAAAAGCTTTTGGCCCTTCCCCTCAGTGGGAGTGGGGAACTTTCAGCAAGGCTTTCCATCCTCTGCTTGGTTGGTTTGTTGTTTTGTGGTGGAGATAAAACCCAGAGAGCTGCAAATGCTAGGCAGTGCTCTACCATGAAGCCACACACACACACACACACACACACACATATACACTTGTTCTTGTTCTGGCTGCTCTTAGATATTTCCTGTCTTGGAAGGGCTGCCTACTCCTAACTTGTATCTTACTGTCTGAGTGGGATGTTCTGAGCTGGGAGCAGCAAGGAGATAACAAAAGAGTTCAGAGTGGGGAGGGATTGGTTCAGAAGACAACCCACATTGTTACTGAGCACCCATAAAGCTGCTGCACTAATCGTGAGAAAGATGGAAGCTACTTGTAAACTATGTTTAAAAAAAAAAAAAACTTTATAAAAGCAAGGGATAGATAGAACCCATTCCGAAAGAAGAGGAACCTCCACAGCAAATGTTCTATACTCTAAAAGAAATTAAAGAAAAAAGAAATCAATGGAAAAGGAAAGCTGAGGCATTGCAATAATGGAGAAAGGAGACAACACTGGGGAAACAATTTTCATAAATTAGAAACCACAAAGAACAAAATACACACTAAAATCAATTTGACACCCAGGGAAAGCTAGAGATAATTTAGTCAGTATTTACTGAACACCCCTGTATATACCAGACACTGTCCTGGCACCGTGGTGGAGAAAAAAAAGATAGATTTCCTCTCCTCATACAGTTTTACATTCTAGATGGGTTTGGGGAACATGGGTTGGTCGGTAGTGATAACTACTATAAAGGAAAATAAGGTAGGTCAGTATTGATACCGTGGGGCTCAGAGAACAATACCTCAAAGTATGACACATTGGCATGCTATATGCTTTAAACTAAAGGAAAACCAAGGTCTCCTCTGAACTCCCATTACTCTGAAGAGCAAGGGGCTCTGTAAGTTTCTTTGTCTCTCCCTTAAAGTGGGATCATCCAGAAGATCCACTCACAGGAAGGAAGGCTAACATTGATACCAGAGTCTAGGTGAACATGACCCCAAACTGTTCTCTATTCTTCAGACCCCTTCTGGAAAAATCATTTACTTTCTAAAATTGCTTAAAACCACACTTCCCTCTCCTGAATAAAAATGTTTCTTTGCATTTCATACTTTGTTTTGACTCCTGGCCACAGGTTATTAGGTTTCCTGTGGTTGTGGGAAGCTTCTGACAAGGTGATGTTTGATCAGTGAGATAATCACATTGAATACAGATGGAAAAGAACAGATGAAAGACATGTTTGATCCCACATATAACCAGTAGATAGAGTAAGCTGCAATTAGCACAGAAAAAAACTCAAAGATATGAAAGAAATTTCCCTAAATGACCTAAATAATTAAATCTACAGATAAAAGAGAACATTCTTCTAGCAAAAAGCGATGAGAATAATATCAAAGCATATCTTAGAAAAAACACCACCAATAACAACAGGAAAAACCTGTTACCTTCTAGTGTTAAGTTCTCAACATCAGTTCATGTTGTATAATAAATGTGATCTAACCATCACAAAAACAAAAAGTTCCTTGCCGTATTTTTTGGTGGTGCTGGGGATTGAAGAAAATTTCTTCTATTATGAGAATCAAGGATCATAAAGATTGTGAGCCTTTCTTGAAAACCATATTAGACTAAATCCAGTCAAACTCAAAGAATCAATGTGAAGAGTATAGTAATGGAGAACTGTTTGTATGCTTGTTTATGAGCTGTGAATCCATTTAAGTATACAGCAATGATTACAGAAAGGAATGTAAAGATGAAAGACAAACTTCAGAATTCTAAATAAATAACTAAGGAACTGGAACAAAAACTCTAGAGCTTGCTGACAACTCAGTAGGGGCCAAGAAGGTAAGTGAGCTAATTACTTTGTTTTTCAGAGCAAGAAGTCAATATTCACTTCATTTTTTAAGACTGAGAAATAAAGTTTCAAAAAATTCTGTCATTAAAAATAGAAAAGTAATATTAAATTACTAGAAGAGTGGAGAACAGGGCAGCAATCAGAAAATTGACTCTATGATTCAAGGTAAACAAAAGAAAAATTGTCAACAGTCTCCTGATCTAGTATAACCCGAAACTCTCCACTTTAATATCAATCAACATTGAACTAAAAGCAGAATGCAACTACCTGCAATGAGCATACAAAATAGTATTGTGGTAGACACTGCTATCTGTCCACTACAGTCTGTTCTCTACTTCCATGCTCCAGAATTATAGCTGGGCATGTGACTAACCATATATTCCACTCATTCCCTTGAGGCTTCAATGGGCTGTGAGCAAAAATATGACACCACCCCAACTTTGGCCCATAATCCTCTCCCCATACCCCCTTCATTGCCTCTTTCTGTTCTTCCCCCATTCCTACATGACAGCGTGGTCAAGATGGCCAAAGTGCTTCAGTGTTCCTAACTAACTGTGAGGAACAGTCTATCCTCTTCACACCCACTACGTTCTGGAACACCTCTTATTGAAGAGTCAGGGTTCTGTCCATAGACACACTATCCCAGTTACTTAGAATGAAAGAATTTAAGGAATTGTTTAACCAGATGTAAAGTAGGAAGTTGAAAAGGGTGTGTGTGTGTGTGTGTGTGTGTGTGTGTGTATGTTATACACATTATATTTGAGGTTAGGGAGGCAAGTATGTTTATTTCTTCTAGCAGTTTACTGTAAGCAGTATAAGTATAATATACAGCAAGTTCCTAAAATGGGAGGAAGAATAGTCATTATCAGAGAGACTTCATGTAACTTACCTATGACAAATGAAATCTACAAACATAAGCAATGGTAAGACCAAGGGTATCACTGATATATAATATTTTAATTCTGTATCCAAACAAAGTACATATTCTATTTCCTCTGAAAGGTTTCTTGACACAACAAATTTTGGGTGCCAAAGAAATCCTCCAGGAACTCAAAATAAAAAACTGCATTTCCTTACATCAAAGAAAAGAATGTACAGTTTAATAACCAAAAAAGCAAATAGAACAAAATTCAACCTCTTGGAAGTTTTGAAATTCCTTTCAAAATTAACCCCAAAGCTGAAATGTCAGAATATATGCACTGTCATTTCTTTAAGTGACACATACTGGGCTCTAAGTGGTACAGCCAGCATGAAGCCTTAAGTTCAAACCCCAGTACCACCACCACAATATAAACATTAGAAAATTCTCAAACTTGAAGCATGATTGGTTCTATAGTGCTTCATGAAAGAAGTGGACTCATCTGTTTTTCTGATTGGAGAATTGGGGTAGGGCTGGAAGAAGCTCCTCGCTACATAGCCTTTGGACACTTTACAAACAGCATTGGTTCTGTGTGCTGGGTAAGGGGTCTCGTGGGCAGCAGACTTGGGGACTTGGAAGCAGTTCCATAAAGGAGGGAGCTGAAACCTTGCAGCTCTGATTGAAGTACATTTGCTCTGGAAGCTGACTGGGTCTTCTTCCTTGCAAAAAGATTACTGGAGACATACCTGACAAAAAAAGCAGGTCCATGTTCCATCTTGCTAACAGTCCTGAAGGGCACCAAACAAGCACAGAAGTTCACAGCATGAGAGTGTTTTAGTCCCTTTTTCAGCCCACAATAAAATGAGAATGAAGAAACTCCTTATCAGTCACTCACCATCCAGTGCCTGCCTTACCATGTTCCCATATTTGGTAGGGAAATAGATTGTGAGGTGGATAATTAACTCCCATCTAGGGTGATCAGTATGATAGAGTGAAGGGCAGGGCAGGTTTAAGTGGCAATTTTGGATCAAAATCCAGCTGAGCCACCATTGAGGCAGATGGGCTCAGAAAGGGTTTGGATCATTTAGCAAAGTACTTGTTTTCAGAGCCTGAGAGACAGTGCTATAATCACAAATTTGCATGCAAAAACAAACATTTATGGCTCTTCAGATTCAGTTGTTTTTTGATGGGAGACATCACAAATTATGAAAGCACAGCTCAATGACCTAGAAGTTGGTAGCACAATCATTTCTCTTCTGGTCAGCTTCATGCAAACTCTGGTTCAAAAGCAACAGGATGAATCCAAGCAGCAATAAATGGTTTGAATCTGATTTTTTTCTGTCACTTTCTTTATCCTAAAAAAAAATAGGGGAATAATTGTCCAGTGTTTGAAATCATTAATCTGTGTTCAACTAAAGAGATTGTGTGTATTTTAGGTATTTGGTCTGTTTTCCTTTTTAAAAATTTGTTTATTGACCTATGTCAAAGGACAAAGGCTAATTCCACTTCTTTTAATATTCCAACAATTTCTTTGGTTCATAAGTTTATTTTACTCC